TATACTTGTTTACATGTAAAAACCCCTATTAAGTTCCATTATACTGGTTTACATGTAAAAACCCTATTAAGTTGCATTATACTGGTTTACATGAAAAAACCCTATTAAGTTGCATTATACTGGTTTACATGGAAAAATCCCTATTAAGTTGCATAATACTGGTTTACATGGAAAAATCCCCATTAAGTTGCATTATACTGGTTTACATGAAAAAACCCTATTAAGTTGCATTATACTGGTTTACATGGAAAAATCCCTATTAAGTTGCATTATACTGGTTTACATGGAAAAAACCCTATTAAGTTCCATTATACTGGTTTATATGTAAAAAAAAAACCTATTAAGTTGCATTATACTGGTTTACATGGAAAAATCCCCATTAAGTTGCATTATACTGGTTTACATGAAAAAAACCCTATTAAGTTGCATTATACTGGTTTACATGAAAAAAACCCTATTAAGTTGCATTATACTGGTTTACATGGAAAAATCCCTATTAAGTTGCATAATACTGGTTTACATGGAAAAATCCCCATTAAGTTGCATTATACTGGTTTACATGAAAAAAACCCTATTAAGTTGCAATATACTGGTTTACATGGAAAAATCCCTATTAAGTTGCATTGTACTGGTTTACATGGAAAAATCCCTATTAAGTTGCATTATACTGGTTTACATGGAAAAAACCCTATTAAGTTGCATTATACTGGTTTACATGTAAAAACCCCTATTAAGTTGCATTATACTGGTTTACATGGAAAAATCCCCATTAAGTTGCATTATACTGGTTTACATGAAAAAAAACCCTATTAAGTTGCATTATACTGGTTTACATGAAAAAACCCTATTAAGTTGCATTATACTGGTTTACATGGAAAAATCCCTATTAAGTTGCATTATACTGGTTTACATGGAAAAATCCCTATTAGGTTGCATGATTACACTGAAGTCCTTGAAACTGCTGAAGTCCTTGAAACTGCTGAAGTCCTTGAAACTGCTGAAGTCCTTGAAACTGTTGAAGTCCTTGAAACTCTTGAAATCTTGAAACTGCTGAAATCCTTGAAACTGTTGAATCCTTGAAACTGTTGAATCATTGAAACTGTAGAAATGTCTGAAAGAGCTGAAGTCCTATTAAAATGCATGGGCCTATTAAAATGCATTGCAGAATTCTCAATGCAGATTTTTGTCCGATTGCGGAAAAACCGGAAATCGCTGAAGTCCCAAAAGTAATAGCAATAATCTCCCAAACATGTGGAACGTTTTGATGTATAACTTGTGGAAATTGTTGAAAATGTGAAAGCTGTGAAACGTGTCAAAAAAAATGACGGAATAAAGAAATACAAAACCAATGGTTGACTGCGGAAGGTTCCGCAGTCAATCAATAAAGAAATACAAAACCAATGGTTGACTGCGGAAGGTTCCGCAGTCAATCAATGACGGAATAAAGAAATACAAAACCAATGGTTGACTGCGGAAGGTTCCGCAGTCAATCAATGACGGAATAAAGAAATACAAAACCAATGGTTGACTGCGGAAGGTTCCGCAGTCAATCAATGACGGAATAAAGAAATACAAAACCAATGGTTGACTGCGGAAGGTTCCGCAGTCAATCAATGAAAGAGAATGAAATGGACATACTTGCCAACTTCCTCGGCCATGACATTCGCATCCACAGACAATATTACAGACTACCAGAGGGGACACTGGAGCTGGCCAAAATCAGCAAAGTGTTGATGGCCATGGAGCAGGGAAGAGTGACGGAATTCGAAGGAAAGAGCCTCGACCAGATACACATTGAGCCTGAAGGTAATTCTTGATATTATTAAAATATGTATGATTTTTTTCCCCTAAAGGCCACTTGTATTTTTATTTTCTGTGCGACAGGGAGAGCAGTAGAGATCCTCTCACAAACGGACGGGCTAAAAGAAACTTCAAGCGGAGAACCTTCAACCATTCATCCAGATGCACCCCATGGTAGTGGCAGTGCCCCTTCTGTTAAGTGTACCAGGTGGGGGATTACAGCCAGGCTGCTTGGTCCTAACCCTGGGAGTGTATATTGCTAATTGATTGACTGCGGAACCTTCCGCAGTCAACCATTGGTTTTTTGATTGACTGCGGAACCTTCCGCAGTCAACCATTGGTTTTGTATTTCTTTATTCCGTCATTTTTTTTGACACGTTTCACAGCTTTCACATTTTCAACAATTTCCACAAGTTATACATCAAAACGTTCCACATGTTTGGGAGATTATTGCTATTACTTTTGGGACTTCAGCGATTTCCGGTTTTTCCGCAATCGGACAAAAATCTGCATTGAGAATTCTGCAATGCATTTTAATAGGCCCATGCATTTTAATAGGACTTCAGCTCTTTCAGACATTTCTACAGTTTCAATGATTCAACAGTTTCAAGGATTCAACAGTTTCAAGGATTTCAGCAGTTTCAAGATTTCAAGAGTTTCAAGGACTTCAACAGTTTCAAGGACTTCAGCAGTTTCAAGGACTTCAGCAGTTTCAAGGACTTCAGCAGTTTCAAGGACTTCAGTGTAATCATGCAACCTAATAGGGATTTTTCCATGTAAACCAGTATAATGCAACTTAATAGGGATTTTTCCATGTAAACCAGTATAATGCAACTTAATAGGGTTTTTTCATGTAAACCAGTATAATGCAACTTAATAGGGTTTTTTTTCATGTAAACCAGTATAATGCAACTTAATGGGGATTTTTCCATGTAAACCAGTATAATGCAACTTAATAGGGGTTTTTACATGTAAACCAGTATAATGCAACTTAATAGGGTTTTTTCCATGTAAACCAGTATAATGCAACTTAATAGGGGTTTTTACATGTAAACCAGTATAATGCAACTTAATAGGGTTTTTTCCATGTAAACCAGTACAATGCAACTTAATAGGGATTTTTCCATGTAAACCAGTATAATGCAACTTAATAGGGTTTTTTACATGTAAACCAGTATAATGCAACTTAATAGGGTTTTTTCCATGTAAACCAGTACAATGCAACTTAATAGGGATTTTTCCATGTAAACCAGTATAATGCAACTTAATGGGGATTTTTCCATGTAAACCAGTATAATGCAACTTAATGGGGATTTTTCCATGTAAACCAGTATTATGCAACTTAATAGGGATTTTTCCATGTAAACCAGTATAATGCAACTTAATAGGGATTTTTTCCATGTAAACCAGTATAATGCAACTTAATGGGGATTTTTCCATGTAAACCAGTATTATGCAACTTAATAGGGATTTTTCCATGTAAACCAGTATAATGCAACTTAATAGGGTTTTTTTCATGTAAACCAGTATAATGCAACTTAATAGGGTTTTTACATGTAAACCAGTATAATGGAACTTAATAGGGGTTTTTACATGTAAACCAGTATAATGGAACTTAATAGGGGTTTTTACATGTAAACCAGTATAATGCAACTTAATAAGGATTTTTACATGTAAACCACTATAATGTAACCTAATAGGGATTTTTCCATGTAAACCAGTATAAAGCAACTTAATAGGGATTTTTCCATGTAAACCATGTAGTATAATGCAACTTAATAGGGATTTTTCCATGTAAACCAGTATAATGCAACTTAATAGGGATTTTTCCATGTAAACCAGTATAATGCAACTTTAATAGGGATTTTTCCATGTAAACCAGTATAATGCAACCTAATAGGTTGCATTATACCACCAGACCAAGACCCAAACGAAGACTCAGACCACCACCAGATAATGACCACAGACCAGGTTTCCTTAGTTACAGGAACCAAATTGTTTCAGCGGTGAGGGGATTTTTCAGTTTCAAGGACACTTTCAATACATTCAGTAGTTTCAAGGATTTCAACTGTTTAAGAATTTAACCAGTTTCAAGGATATCAGGAGGTTCAAGGATTTCAGGAGTTTCCACACTTTCAACAGTTTCCAGGTTTAAAAAAAGTTTCAAGGATTTCAGGAGTTTCAATGTTTCAACAGTTTCAAGGATTTCAGGAGTTTAAAGGTTTCAACAATTTCAAGGACTTCAGGAGTTTCAAATATCTATCAAGTATTTTAACAGTTTCAAGGCCTTTTAAAGGATTTCAAGGATTTTTTTTAGCAGATTTCCACATTAGATCTGTTCCGCAGTCAATCGCAATGGCTTCAGCCATTGCAAGTTTCTAGTATATATTTGTATTTCTCTCCCTAGAACGTGTAAGAAAGCCATGGTCTGCATCTGAGGTGAAGGCTGTGGAGAAGACCATGACGCCTTTCATACAGACTGGAAAGGTCCCTGGGAAGTCTCACTGCCTGGCCTGCATTAATGCCTCACCAGATGACCTTAGACATCGGACATGGAGTGGCATTAAATTCTATGTCAAAAATAGAATCACTGCAATTCGAAAAAAAAATCCAAAATAAAATTCCTTTAAAAGAGTTGTTTGTTTTCTATTGACTGTTTTGTATTACTTAAAGTAGTCCCAGTAAAAAAGATTATGTCTATGGGTCCCATTCTGAACGGCCCTGTCAAAGGGACCCACCAGGTAACAAAAACGTGTATGTGTGTGTGTGTGTGTGTGTTTCAGGGCGACACTGTGTGTGTGTGTATTTCAGGGCGACACTGTGTGTGTGTGTTTCAGGGCGACTGTGTGTGTGTGTGTGTGTGTCTCAGGGCGACAATGTGAGATCGTGTGTGTGTTTCAGGGCGACAATGTGAGAGTGTGTGTGTTTCTGGGCGACACTGTGAGTGTGTGTGTTTCAGGGCGACAATGTGAGAGTGTGTGTGTGTTTCTGGGCGACAAGTGTGAGCGTGTGTGTTTCAGGGCGACACTGAGCGTGTGTGTTTCAGGGCGACACTGTGTGAGCGTGTGTGTTTCAGGGCGACACTGTGAGCGTGTGTGTTTCAGGGCGACACTGTGAGAGTGTGTGTGTGTTTCAGGGCGACACTGTGAGAGTGTGTGTGTGTTTCAGGGCGACACTGTGAGAGTGTGTGTGTGTTTCAGGGCGACACTGTGAGTCGCACCACATGACGGGGAACTACATGTGGGACGAGCGCTCGGACAAACACTTCCTGATCGGGATAAACCCCGACAGCAGACTCCCCCTGTGGTGGGAGGGGGCGGAGCCTCTGTGGGTCACTGCCCAGAGGCAGGGCAAGAGGGTCCACATGTACTACTGGCCAGGTGAGGACCACACACACACACAGGTCCACATGTACTACTGGCCAGGTGAGGACCACACACACACACAGGTCCACATGTACTACTTACCAGGTGAGGACCACACACACACACATACACAGGTCCACATGCACTACTAGCCAGGTGAGGACCACACACACACACACACACACTCTACATGTACTACTGGCCAGGTGAGGACCACACACACACACGCACTCTACATGTACTACTGGCCAGGTGAGGACCACACACACACAGGTCCACATGTACTACTGGCCAGGTGAGGACCACACACACACACATACACAGGTCCACATGCACTACTAGCCAGGTGAGGACCACATACACGGGTTCAGAAATATTGGGACATAAACACAATTCTTATCTTTTTATCTCCATACACCATCATCTTCAATTCAAGTCATTTCATTTGTGTATCGCCCTAAAACAGCAGTCGTCTCGGAGGACTACAATGTTTTAGATTTCTCAACAACAGACCGAGGATGTGGACCCAGGACTGAGGCTGTAGACCCAGGACTGAGGCTGTAGATCCAGGACTGAGGCTGTAGATCCAGGACTGAGACTGTAGATCCAGAACTGAGGCTGTAGACCCAGGACTGAGGCTGTAGATCCAGGACTGAGGCTGTAGACCCAGGACTGAGGCTGTAGACCCAGGACTGAGGCTGTAGACCCAGGACTGAGGCTGTAGACCCAGGACTGAGGCTGTAGACCCAGAACTGAGGCTGTAGATCCAGGACCGAGGCTGTAGATCCAGGACCGAGGCTGTAGATCCAGGACTGAGGCTGTAGACCCAAGACTGAGGCTGTAGACCCAGGACTGAGGCTGTAGATCCAGGACTGAGGCTGTAGATCCAGGACTTTCAAGGGAAAGTGCTAATGGACAGCCTTCTTTTGAATGTTGTGATTAGATTTGTCCCAATGTCCTGATATGTACGGCTCTGACTGTGTGTGTGTGTGCGTACGTGTGTGTATCTGTTTGTGTGCATGTGTGTGTCCGTGTGTGCGTGCTTGTGTGTATCTGTTTGTGTGTGTGCGTGTTCGTGCGTGCGTGTGTGTGTGTGCGTGTTCAGGTTGTGAGGTGGAGATCCTGGGAGTGAGACCACAAATATGTGAAGAATATTACTACAACCCGTCGGTCCAGAACTTCACAGAGTCTCTGAGAAGATCCGTGGACGCTCTCAGGTACACACTGTTGTTTGTGTATCACCCTGAATCAACAACATGAACAAACACAGAGAGACAGTGGTCCATGAGGAGCAGAGACCGACGTCCACACATGCTGCAGAATGTGGAGTGTCCTGGATCTTACCCCTATGTCTTCATGTCCCTATGTCTCCTGTCCCTGTGTTCTCCTGTCCCTGTGTCCTCAGTTCTCTTGTACCTGTGTCCTCATGTCCCTATGTCTCCTGTCCCTGTCTCCTCAGTTCTTTTATACCTGTGCCTCTTGTCCCTGTGTCTCCTGTCCCTGTGTCCTCCTGTCCCTGTGTTCTCCTGTCCCTGTGTTCTCCTGTCCCTGTGTCCTCCTGTCCCTGTGTTCTCCTGTCCCTGTGTCCTCATGTCCCTGTGTCTTCATTTCTCCTGTCCCTGTGTCCTCAGTTCTCCTGTCCCTGTGTCCTCAGTTCTCCTGTCCCTGTGTCCTCAGTTCTGGGGACGCTGACCTGGCAGCTGTGTACTATGAGAAGATGGACGTGGAGGGACATCACTTTGGACCAGAGTCTCCTGAGGTCCGACGGTCTCTGCAGGAGCTGGACCGAGCCCTGGGGACACTCTGTCAGAGACTCACGGTCTGTGTCTTCACCTGTCCTCACCTGTCCTCACCTGTCCTCACCCGTCATCACCCGTCATCACCCGCCTCACTGTCCTCACCCGCCTCACTGTCCTCACCTGTCCTCACCCGTTGTCACCTGTCCTCACCCATCCTCATTGTCCTCCCGGTCCTAACCTGTCCTTCCGGTCCTCACCCGTCCTCATCTGTCCTCACCCGTCCTCCCCGTCCTCACCCGTCCTCACCCGTCCTCACCCGTCCTCACCCGTCCTCACCCGTCCTCACCCGTCCTCACCCGTCCTCACCCGTCCTCACCCGTCCTCACCCATCCTCACCTCACTATAAAAGAGTGAAAATGAAGCTTGTGTTTTTGCTTTTCTACATTGACATCCTTAGTTTTAGTCGACTGGACACAGATGTGAATGTTCCTCTTCTGCCTCAGGACAAAGGTCTGTGGGAGCAGCTGAACGTCATGATGTTCTCAGACCATGGAATGACCCGTGTGCAGTGGGAGGACAGAGTCATCGAGCTGGACAGGCTCATCAACATGTCCCACATCCTCAAGATGATGGACAGGGGCCCCGTGGTCAGTCTGTGGCCCCTGAAGGACAAGTTCCAGCAGGTCAGCTGTGTCCTCCTGTCTCCACACATAATCTGTGTCTCTGTGTCCACTGTATCTGTGTCCTCTGTGTCTCTGGTTCTTGTCCTGGCAAAGAAACAGTACAAAGAACTTTCAAAATAAAAGGTCTGGCTGTGGCTGTCGCCAGAGGAGGCAGGTCCACTGCTGTGGAGATGAATTTGTGTCTGCAGACTTTTTACTCTCACTTATAACTCCACAGATAGAGCAACTTCTTTCTCTGGAGTGTTGGAACTACTCTATCTGGGTTAAAACAACTTCACTCTAAAAAACTAAATTTTTTTGTTCCTGTGCAGGTGTCTGCTGCTCTGGAGCATGTCCCTCACATGCAGACCTACACTAAGGCAGGTTTCCCAGAGCGCTTCCATTACGGCAGGGGGCGTTTCGTGTCTCCTCTAACGCTCGTGGCCGAGCCGGGCTGGTTCATCGTTCAGGTAACTACGGCTCTCAGACAAAACCATTTTTAGTAAGAATGTTTTGTGTATCAGATTTCTTCAGTATAAAAATGTCAATAAACAAAACAAAACATTCTGGGGCTAACATTACAGTCCTAAACCATCACAATAAAAAGCCGGCATGGCTCCCACTGAAATACATTTTAAAGTTAAAAAGGTTCCAGACCTTAGACTTCGAGCTCTGAGTCAGTGCGACTGCTCTGGACCAAACCAATAATATCCAACCTTCATAAATACTGAAGGTTCTCTGTCAGCTGAGGTCGAGCTGTTTTAGTTTACATTGACATTTATCTGGGTAGCCCATGGGAATTTAGTCTGCAGTACCACGGGCGCCCCCTGTGCCGTAGGTGGGACAGCTAAAAGCTTTATATAATACTTTTTATAATACTTTATCCAGGTATTACTATGCTCCTCAGAGTTGGTTCATATGGCACAAACATGTCACAGCTTCATAAATGTGTGGTGTTGTGTGTAGAACAAGAGCGTGCTGCCGTACTGGAGGAACGAGAGCGAGGGCCCAGCGCGCGGCTGGCAGCGCGGCTGGCACGGCTACGACAACCAGCACCGGGACATGGGCGGCTTCTTCCTGGCAGCGGGACCCGGTACGAACCACTGTGATGGCATTGTAATCAGATCATCATTGTTTGTATTAACACATCCCATCAGTCAGGTCGCTGACAGTCTGATGATACTCACAGTTTTGTCAGATCAGGTTCAGTCTGTAGATAATCAGGGGTAGGTTCTAATGCTAACATTCAAGATTAACATTCAGGCATCTATGATGTCATCTGGAGGGTGTTGCTGCTTAAACCTCCACACGGACTAGAGGCCACCTGTAGTACTGCAGCCTAAATCCACATGGACTAGAGGCCATCTGTGGTACTGCAGCCTAAATCCACATGGACTAGAGGCCATCTGTGGTACTGCAGCCTAAATCCACATGGATTTTAAGAAGATTTCACCACAGACCTTAGTTTGTCTCGTCCTCAGAGACAGGGAAAGGTGAAGGATTTTGTCGTCCCTTGTACGGAACTTTTATTTTTATTTGTATTCCATCATTTTGCTATAAATCCCCTTTTTTGCAACAGTAGCGCTCTGATTGGTCAGAACACTCACATGTTCCTCTGGTCCTGTCCATGCACCCACTGCACAGACCAGGAGAACCAGAGCCAGGGCTATATTAGTGCGTACTACAGACGGTCCCTTTAAAGATGTACATAAATAAATAATGTCCAGCTGCTGCTGACGGTTTGAGTCTGGACACAGTTTATTCACTGATCCTCTTTTTAAACATGTGCAGATTTCAAAGAGAACGTAAGCGCAGCCCCCATACTCTCCGTGGATGTGTACAACCTGATGTGCCGGACGCTCGGAGTAGAGCCGCTGCCCAACAATGGCTCGTGGTCCCGGGTGGAGGCCCTGCTGAGCTCCGCGGGGCCCCTGAGAACAGCAGGGCCCATGAGGTGGTGGATCCTGTGCTCTGTGCTGCTGCTGATGGACAGGTGCTGAGAGGGGGCGGGACCACTGCTGATGGACAGGTGCTGAGGAGGCGGGACTACTGCAGATGGACAGGTGCTGAGGAGGCGGGACTACTGCTGATGGACAGGTGCTGAGGAGGCAGGACCACTGCTACTGTTTACTTTGCTTCATGTGTGAAAATGTGAAATCAAAGGTTTATTCAACCAATTTAGAGCTAAAGCTAACATGCTGCATACATGGTTTAATTTTCTCCCAAATATTGTGTAAAAAGAACCTCTGTATACGTTCACAATAGACCTGTCAATCAAACATTGTTCACCAATCTGTCTACATTTATTACAGTGAGCACTTCTTCGTTGCTCCATCCCATCTCATATCAACAGCTGAATATTGCACAGGCGTCAACACCCTCTAACAATGAGCTGCTCACACCGCACCATTAGCATACACTAACCACTCAGCCGTCTTCATAAATATTTGTGACTAATGTTTGACTTAAACCCATGACAATGGGGTAAACCTGTTCATATTTGTGTTCAGTCTTCAATAAATGTATAAATCATTTAACAAGAAAACCTTGCAATCAATTAATAAAAACCATTACAATTTCAATGGTCACATGACCGTTGGAATTGAATGCCCTCTCCCCCCCCACACTATCTGGGGGGGGGGGGGCTTTGTGATATGAAAATCCAACCAGTCATGTAATCACTGACGCTGACTCATCATCTTTCTATCATGCTGTTATTCCTGCTCCTACCGAGTGACTGAGGATGAAGAGGAGCTTTGTTGCTATAAACCACAAAACTACATTTGTTCTGAAATATATAAAACAAACAAATACATAAATATATATAAAAGAACCCCCGCAACTAAACACCAATACAGGCAATGCTAACACGATAGGAAAGTGCTCATGGACAAAGTTTCACTCTGGCTCCTGTTGTCTTCTATGTGAAAGTAAACTCCTCTAGCTTAGTAACGCTTGTGTCACACTCACCATTTTGGGCTTGTATATGTGGTTTATTGCTCTCTGTGATCCTGCTGTTTATATGTGATTATGTCCTTGTAAAGCCATATAAGCACTGACCAATCAGAGGCCTTCATTCAGGGGAAACTCCAGTTTGTCTTAGCAACCGTCCTAGCAACGCGCCTGTTCCTGTTACAGCATGATGCTAATGCCGTCAGAACAAATGCCCATGTAAGGAAACTGGCTCCAGCTTATGTTCAAATCAGCTTCTTCTGCTAAAACTGTGGTGATGTCACACTTAACAATTGTAAACCGCTTTGAGACTCAGATCTGCAGTGAAAAGGCGGTATATAAATAAATACTTACTTACTACTTACTTACTACTTACACTGTGGTGATGTCACACTGTGGTCCTCAGCTCCAACATGAGTCAAACTGGAGTCAGCTGATAGTTCTGTCTGTGCTGCTTTTCAGACTTCATCGATAATGTACTGATTTAACTATAAAACTAAAATAGTACAAAAATCACAAAGCAGCAGACAAAGAACTATCAAGGCTCATGTTAGAGCTAATTGATTCCTATTAATTAAAAAATATGTACAAACAAATTGATACTACAATTATGAAACTGTAATACTACTACTACTGCTACTAATAATAATACAATCAAACTTATATAGCACTCTTTTGGACGCTCAAAGGTGCCTTACAAAAATAAAGACAGAAGAGCAAAACTAAAAGAGCGATAAGTAAAAATCTAAAAGTGGTACCTCAACCTCTGCCAATCTCCTTGACTCAGGTTGCCAGATATGCAGATGAATCCAGCTGGGACCATGACAAGAGTTTTGTCAACAACAAATCTATAACCAACACCTTTTTCACAAAAAGCATTCCCAATGGAAATCCACATTTTATTCCTTGTTTTGTCATTAATGATTTGAGAATCATAACGAGACCTATATTTTAGTTAAAGGTATAACTAATTAAATGTATATTATTATTATTTATTTTTTTAATAACAAATACATAAACAACAGATAGAGACAGAAAGGGGAAAACCAATGTACATGAGTGGAGTCACACTTCCAACTGCTCTGAGGGTCCTAGAGAGTTCTAGAGAGTTCCGGAGAGTTCAGAAAATGGAAAACTAACATTAATATTGTTTTCTCACGGAGGTAAATGTTAGTGCGCTATAAAACATAATATAATATAAAATGATATACTATACAGAATATATACATAATAAAATACATAACATAATGAATACATAAGACACTATGCGCTGTGAGATCACCGTGACTCAGCGCCTCTACCGTGGCCGTGCTCTTGTCCGCGAACGGGCGCGCGCACTGACTCACGGTCAGCTGACCATCCAAGGGAAATCCCCTGCCAGATCATGGCTCACCTCTGATTGGTCTACAACCCGGAAGTTTAGAGGTGCGCGGCCAATAGGAGCGCGCTGTGTTTGTAAACATAAGTGCTGCTGTTTTGAGCTGCGTCAAACTCCGAGCAGCTGTTCTGAAGTGACCGATCTACGCGCTCCTGCCCCGAGTACAGCCCTCAGCTCTCCGCGGAGACTACCGTGAGTACGGATCTCTTATATTCACATCAGTCAGGCCATGTCAGCTCTGTCAAATACTGCCGTCGTCATCACAGACGGATGCTCCAGTAGCTAGCTCTGAAGGGAGACTTCCAACCCAACTTTAGCCTTTAGCCCAGCTGTGCTTCTCTGCGGGAGTTGAGAGCTCTTGCCCTGTCTTCTGTTCTAACTGCGTAGTTAATACGTAGTTAATGTTGACCGCTTCCGTGTAAAGTTCTCTCTTTACCGTGAGTAGGTTCTTTCGGCATTTAACAAAACTTGGGAACCTAACCTTTCTGTTAACAAATGTATACAGTGTGTATATCCTAAAACAAAGAGCATGGTAAATGTATGTGGTAAACAAATGAGACATCAACTTACTGTCTCATTTGTATAATACAAATAATCATAAACATAATAATGTATTGTTTTATATATAGCGCTTTTATTATTGACGTCCTTTGCAAACATCAACACAGTTTTCCTGTTTCTTACACAACACTGGATCGCCAGCAGTAGATCCAGTGTTCACTTCATACTGTGTGTTTGGTGAACTGAGGTGTGTGTCTCTGCAGCTGCTGCTAACATGTCTGTGATGGTGAAGGCCTACCTCCTCGGCAAAGAGGAGGCGGTGAAGGAGATCCGCCGCTTCAGGATCGACCACGACGTCAGCTCCAGCTTTGAATACCTGAGCCGCAAAGTGATCTCTGCCTTCAGCCACCTGCAAACCCAGCCCTTCACGCTCTTCTACAAAGGTACGGGTTGTAGTCCTCTGTCATCTGAGAGTGTCGCTGTTCAAGGGTCACGGTTGAGAAAATGTTGTAATCTCTGGTTGTGCTCTGAGGCAAGACACTCTATGTGTTTGTGTGTGTTTCAGTGTGACGTCAAAGAAAAGCTTTAGCTGACACAAATAAAGTATAACAACACTTGAATAACCAGACAAAGTACTAGCTTTTGTGTAATTTTATACATTTTATACATATAGATTAATTTCTATATCCTATTCGATAAAAACATATCTTGGTGGATCGCTCACACACAAAAGCGGTTATTACATTATATAGGTGTGACGGTGCGGCAGAACTGGTTTCAGACGATCATCCACAAGGCCAGACCATCAGCTCAGTGTCTGCCCAGTATCAGTACCCAGTTGTGCTACTAGAAACTGGATTTCAGTGTCATCCAGCCAACTTCAGCGCCTCCATAGAGAAATGTTATACCAGTATATCAGCATAGACAGAATTTTACTTTTGATCGTGTCCCAAACTTCCATACACAGCAGTGATGTATCTGCGGTGAGATGGTTCTCGTGACTAAACTGATATTTTTAAACGTAAATCAATAACGACACCTCACACCGTTCTTAAAGCTCAGAACAGAATGGTCCAAATCCAGTCAAAGCGGTTTCAAAATCCTGTTTGTCGGCCCCTGGACAGGCCTGATGAGCTAAAGTGGCCCCTGACTACGAGGTTTGCTTAAGAACATGGTTTTCTCGTGTCTAGGAAAGTTAAATGTTTGTCCTGTGTATGTTTTTATTATCAGATTAGTCTTAAGATAAGATAAGATGTGCTTTATTTATCTCACATAGGAGAAATTTACACGTCACATTTGGCATGGATAGGACACTCAGATTGTGCAAAAGAAAGAAATGTGCAAACATGTTGTATGCAGGATAATTATGTACAACAAAAGTGACAAGTGTCAATTGGAAACAGTGTCAATAGTAGTGCAGGTTTTCACACAGTGATCATTTAAAGTGACTTATTGTACAGTCTGACAGCGGTGGGGATAAAGGCCCTGCGGTAGCGCTCCTTCCTACACTGAGGGTGTCTCAGTCTTCCACTGAAGGAGCTCCTCAGCTCCTCTACAGTCCTGTGCAGTGGGTGGGAGGTATTGTTCATGATGGAGGTGGCTTTGGCTAGCACCCTCCTGTCCCTCACCTCCTCCACAGAGTCCAGGGGCCTCCTGTCCCTCACCTCCTCCACAGAGTCCAGGGGCCTCCTGTCCCTCTCCTCCTCCACAGAGTCCAGGGAGCAGCCCAGAGTGGAGCTGGCCCTCCTGACCAGCTTGTTCAGTCTGTTTCTGTCCCGCTCTGTGCTGCCCGGGGCCCAACACACGGCAGAGTAGTGAATATTTTCACTTTTGAGGACTTCAGAGCACTAATAATAATAATAATAATAATAATAATACTACATTTGAGGTGTCCAGGAAACCTCAAAGTGCTAAAGATCTGTATGGACAAACATGTGAAAAACTGTTCCGTCTTGTTCGCTGAATCACACCGTTGTTATTTGTGGTAGTTGTGGTAAAGAAAAGAATGTGGTGAAGAATAAAGAATGTTTTGTGATTCAGACGAGGATGACGACATGGTGGCCTTCTCCTCTGATGACGAGCTCATGATGGCTCTGACCTGCATCAAAGACGACACCTTCAAACTCTTCATCAAAGGTAACGCCTGACCTCTGAGCTGTGTCCACTCTGAACCGGTGTGGGCTGGTACCGTATCCTAGCAACCTACCCACAACAAACCAGTAACCGTGAGAATTCCTTGGTAACCATGGTTTCCAACAGCACTCTGACCAAATCACGTTAGTACCAGCTCGTCCTGGATAGAACCAGGGTCTGAAAAACAGACACAACACTACTTACTACTAACACTACTTACGACTTACAAAGTACACGGTTTCGGTTTGACTGGGCCGGTAATCATGGGTTGTGTGTGTCTGTGTCTCTGTATCTGTGTGTGTTTGCGTGTCCCTGTCTCTCTGTGTGTGTGTGTGTGTGTCTCTCTCTGTGTGTGTGTGGGTGCGTTTCTCTGTATCTGTGTGTGTGTGTGTGTCTGTCTCTGTCTGTGTGTGTGCGTGCGTGTGTCTGTTTTGTGTGTGTCTCTGTCTGTGTGAACGCATGTGTCTGTTTGTGTGTGTCAGTGTGTGTGCGTGCGTGTGTGTGTCTCTATCTGGGTGTGTGTCTCTGTCTGTGTGTGTTCTTGCTCAGAGCCACTCCTGATGTTATTCTTAGCTGAGCCTAACCCAGCATGACTCAGCACTTATGCCTTTGACGTCATGTCAACAACAAATGATTGGTTTGGAAACAAGCTGAAGCTCTTTTGTTGAATATTTGTATGTCTCGACTCTCGACTAAAGCCCTCCTGCAGTTTACTTAGTTTGGGAAGTGTATCAGCAGAATCAGACGTTGAAAGTAGTAGTTACTCGGGCTCCAGCTTCAGGTGCTGTATTTGGGACGTCTATCTAACAACATGTCTGCAGAGGATGTAGACCTCTCTAACATCCACCCACTGTAAAACCACTACATATTTTCCTCTCAATGGTTGAAAATATTGAGAAGTGGAAAAAAGGTTGGACTTTATATATAGAGACAGTTCTCTGTGATTCTGAAACAAATGTAAATATCAATCGACTCATTGTTTTGAAGATTTTTGTGTTTGTGTTTGTATTATCAGCCACCGCCAACCTCTGATTTGTTTGTTTGTGTTTTTACAAATTGCCAAGATTAAAAAGGATAAAAAGAAAAGAATAAATAAAGTAGTAGTTACTGTAGTAGTATAGTTGTAGTACAGTACAGTGTTGAAGTGGAGTATTGTTGAAACCTGCTCTTGTGATTTCCAGAGAAGAAAGAACATCGTCGTGACTTCCCAGCTCACGCCTTCCCTCCGTTTGGATTCCCACCTTTCTCTCCTGGACCTCATGGACCCCCTCCCCCCCCTGGTCCCCATGGCCCCCATGGTCCTTATGGTCCTCATGGAGCACCCGGGGCGCAGTGCCCCTCTGCGGTGCACCCAGGGGTGACCTGTGACGCCTGTGAGGGGCCTGTGGCAGGGACACGCTTTAAGTGCTCCGTCTGCCCCAACTACGACCTGTGCTCCAGCTGCCAGGCCAAAGGACTGCACACCGAGCATGTGCTGCTGCCTATCTGGCACCCCATCCAGGTATCTGGCAACACACACAGTACTGCATATGGAGCAAGACCATAACAGACACGCTAAAATTAAATCAAAGATTTATCTCTGTCGTGGAGACAGAAATAAAGTGAGTTTTAGCTGCCATTTTTAGAGACCACTTTGTCTCCCATAGAATGTCTCTTGGGAAGTTTTCGTCATTTGGATATGTGTCTTTTAAAATACAACAAAAACAATCTCCTCCAATACTTTTCGTTGTCCTATACAAGCCACCGCAGTCATGTCACAGTTTTATTGATAATTTTACCGAGCTGCTTTCAGTTGTATGCACAGATTTTGATAGTTTAGTTATTACAGGTGATTTTAATATTCATGTGGATAATGTTAATGACAGAAATGCAAAAGAGCTGAGTTCTTTACTTGATACCTTTGGTCTCACTCAGCATGTGAGTGGCCCCACCCACAGCAGAGGGCACACTCTAGACCTGTTAGTTACTAAGGGGGTGAATATTTCAAATGCTTTCGGATCATTTCTGTGTATTTTTTGACATGTGTTTCACTAACAAACCACCAGTGGACTCTGCAACCGTTCGAAGAAGACATGAAGAAGATGACATAGTCTGGGATCGCGTCTTTAATTCAGACAGAAGACATGTTTTATTGTCGATGGTGACAGCACGAACAAAACGGACAACAGAATGCAAGTGTTTTATACAGAGCGGAGGCATGGAGACCTCCAATCAGCAGCTTCCACGGTGTGCTTGTAGCTTGGCCTTCAGATAGACAAAACAAGGGAAAAGTACTGGCTTCTGCACATTGATAGAATGATGAGTTTAACTTTAACAAAAGTTGCTTCAAAGTGTTATGAAATCTCACATTCCCCCCTCTGGTCACACATTCACGTGTGACCATCAGGATCAATAAACAGCAACATAACATCGTATCTCAATACTTCAAAAACTCATAAACTCGGTACTTCACTCGGTACTTCAAAACTCGGAATACTTCAAAAACTCATAAAACTCATAAAACATTTTCAGATCTTTCATAAAACTTGTCAACAATCTTCAGTAAAATACCAAACTTCATCAGTCGATGGTGGTTCCAGATATTGCTTTGAAAACAGTCTCTCCCACTTCTCCGTGTTGGTTTCTTCAGGCTGCATTTGTGTCGAGCCATGAATTCTTCTGTGACGTGTCTTTCAATCACACGTTTCAGCTTCAGTGTCCAGATTCAGCAATTCAATTCAGTCCAAATTATGTCCAAATTCAGAAATCCAATTGTTCCAAATTATGTCCAAATTGTGTAATCCAATTTTTCCAAATCATGTCCATGCAAAAGAGGACGATGGTATTGTCCATGTCTCAGCAGCTCACAGCCTGACTGGAATCAGGGGCTGTGCAGATTGTCCATGTGCTGATCCAGATGCATGGTTTCTCTTGAGGTTTCTCAGTTTTGGCTTGAAAAAAAAAAACACTTTTTGTGTAAAAAAAAGTAGTCTTCTGTTCTGTAAATGTAACAGACAAGGCCCGCATCCTTCCACCACCTGAAGAAGATGACATAGTCTGGGATCGCGTCTTTAATTCAGACAGAAGACATGTTTTATTGTCGATGGTGACAGCACGAACAACACGGACAACAGAATGCAAGTGTTTTATACAGAGCGGAGGCTTGGAGACCTCCAATCAGCAGCTTCCACGGTGTGCTTGTAGCTTGGCCTTCAGATAGACAAAACAAGGGAAAAGTACTGGCTTCTGCACATTGATAGAATGATGAGTTTAACTTTAACAAAAGACACATAAATGAAAATACGAGTGAACTATTTATGGGAATGATAAACTTTGAAAATGCATCGTATTCTACTGTGGATGAACTGTTTAACTCTGTCACCTCTAGTGTTTTGAATGTTCTGGATACCGTTGCCCCTGTGAAGGTTAAAATAGTGAAAAATAAGCAGAAGGCGCCGTGGGCTAAAGCAGACTCGGTAAGAGCACTGAAGAGAAAGCGCCGGAGGGTCGTGCGGAAATGGCGCAAGTCCAACCTCCAGGTTGATTACGAGATCTTCAAAGATAAGTTGTGCGAGTTTAACCGGGTGCTACGTAGTACGAGAGAAAGGTATTTTTCTGAAATGATTGAAGGCTGCAGTAACAATCTGCGTGTTCTGTTCTCAACAGTTAATAGATTAACAAACCCCCCTGTTCAGATGCCATTAGAGCTAACTTCCAAACGTAAATGCAATGAGTTTGCACACTTTTTCAATAATAATAATAATAATAATGCATCGGTTTTATATAGCGCTTTTATGGACACTCAAAGACGCTTCACATGTGTCATTATTCATTCACTCCAAACACGGTGGTGATAAACTACTACTGTAGCCACAGCTGCCCTGGGGCACACTGACAGAAGCGAGGCAACCAGTATGCGCCATCGGCCCCTCCGACCACCACCAACCATTCATACACACACCAGACTCATTCTAGGCAATGGGGGTGAAGTGTCTTGCCTAAGGACACAACGGCAGTTTGGCACTTTACAGCCGCAGCCGCCCCACTGTGGCTGATGTTCCCAGAGGTTAAGTGTCTTGCCAAGGACACAACGACAGCAGACAGTGGGAGTCGATGGTGAAAGTCTTGAGCGGGGCTTGAACCCACGACCTTCTGGCTCAAAGGCCAAAGCTCTACCAACTGAGCTACTGCCGCCCCAATGATAAGGTTCAAGGCATCAAAAACGCCATTGTCTCCAATCCACAGATAACCATCCAACAACCAGAAAGGCTCTTTGAGCTAACTCACTTTGCACCTGTAGATGATAAAAATGTCCAAGAGATAATCTCCAGTTTAAGCTCCTCCACATGCAGCCTGGATGTACTACCCACTAGATTTCTGAAGTCTGTTCTGAGCAGTCTGTTACCTTCACTCACACAGATAGTAAACATGTCCCTTCTTTCTGGAATATTCCCAAAGGCCCTGAAAACGGCAGTCATCAGGCCCCTGCTAAAAAAGAGCAGTCTGGATGCCACTGTACTTAACAACTATCGTCCCATCTCAAATCTGCCATTTATGGGGAAAGTCTGCCATTTTCAAGGAAAGTCCTTGGAAAAAGTTGTCTACCTACAGCTTACTAGATTTCTTATAATCAACAACTCATTTGATATGTTTCAGTCCGGCTTTAGACCCCACCACAGCACTGAGACTGCTCTCGTTAAGGTTACAAACGATATCCGGCTGAACACTGACGCAGGCCAAGTCTCAATCTTAATCTTGTTAGATCTAAGTGCTGCCTTTGACACCGTCGACCATGAGATCCTCTTACAGAGACTAGAGGACTGGGTTAATACGCAGAAACGAAGTTTCCTATTATAACTATGCAGACGACACTCAGATCTATGTCTCACTGACTGCAGGAGAACATGGACCAGTGGACTCACTCCTTCACTGTATCCAACAGATCAGTGGGTGGATGCAAAACAACTTCCTTCAGCTAAACGCAGACAAAACTGAAATGATTGTCTTTGGTCCCCAGAAACAAAGAGAGAGCGTCATCTGTCACCTACAGTCTCTCTCCCTAAAACCTTCAAACAAGGTCAGAAATCTAGGGGTAATACTGGACTCAGACTTAAATTTTAATAGCCACATCAAATCAGTAACATCAGCAGCTTTCTACCACCTAAAAAACATTGCCAGGATCAAAAACATAGTGTCTAAAGCAGACTTGGAGATTCTTATCCATGCATTTGTCTCCAGTAGGTTAGACTACTGCAATGGCCTGCTCACAGGTCTGTCCAAACAGGCTGTAAAACAGCTGCAGTACATTCAAAATGCAGCAGCTCGAGTCCTGACTAGAACCAGGAAGTACGACCACATTAGTCCAGTCCTCAGGTCTCTGCACTGGCTTCCTATGGCTCAGAGAATAGACTTTAAAACAGCTCTGCTTGTTACAAGTCTCTCCATGGCCTCGCACCAAAATATATTAGTGACATGTTAGTCCCATATGAACCAGCCCGGACTCTGAGGAGCACAGGGACTGGACTCCTGTTAGTGCCCAGAGTCAGAACTAAACATGGGGAGGCTGCTTTTCAGATTCATGCTGCTAAAATCTGGAACAATCTTCCTGAAGATGTGAGACAGGCCTCCTCTCTGACAACGTTTAAAACCAGGTTAAAAACGGTTCTGTTTAGCTGTGCATACAACTGAGGGATTTTATATTTTTATCTTTCTTTTTAATGTTCTGTGATTATTTATGATTTTAATGCTTTCTTGTTTTGTTCAGAACTTTGAATTGCCTTGTGTATGAATTGTGCTATACAAATAAACTTGCCTTGCCTTGCCCTTGCCTAGTTATTCCAAACTGCCTTAGTCTGGTACCACATCTGGCCGTAGCTCCAACAGAGAACGTTCTAGAATGCTTGGACTGAATTCCAGGCTTTGGCACAGCTAACTACAGTTAATGCATTCACTTAAAAGCATGGCTAACCACTTCAAACCTGTTTTTAAATCGCGTCAAAAATTAACTAGTCATTTTAAATTTTAAGAAGTAGAAGCTACTGATGTATTTGTTTAAAAATATTGATGCCAGGATTAAAAGACTTAAGCACAATACATGAGTCTGAACGGAGCCTGTTGTTGTTGTCATTGTGTAGTTTTGTAACTGTAGCGTTTGTGTCTCAGCACTGGTTTCCTCGAGGGAAGTGGATGAAGTGGATGAGACACTCCATGTGGAACCAGAACCGTGGGCCCTGTGGCACAAACCAGAACCAGAACCAGAACTCCAACCAGGCCAGGCCCAATGCAGAGCCCAGCATGGGATCAGAGGCCCCTGGATCCTCGTCTGGTGAGTCCTGCTGCTCCAGGCTGCACTAACACTGTTGTTCTAGACCAGGGCTGTCAAACCGATCTTCAAGTTAAAACTGGACTCACCTGAGGCCATGGGTGGAGTCTGCTCTGCTCCTGTTGTTTGAACTTACACCTACAGCCACACCTGCCCTTTGAGGACCAGTATGCCAGGAAATTATGTGCTCCTGTTTGGTTGGAATGAAAACCTGTAGCGACTCAGCCTGTCTTCTGATTTCAGACACTTCAGACACATGCTATATCATGTTGTAAAATTCCAGTAGTTTACTTTTATTAGTGTAGACTGATGTGGCACCTGGTGTTCTCAGAGGTCTCCCATCACAGTACTAGCCAGGCCTTGCACTGCTCAACTTCAGAGCTCTGACAGGATCTCAGCTTTCACCTGCAGGTGGCGCAATTGGCAGAATTTGAGAGATTGTTTCTGTTCTTTTTAGCTTGTTTTATTTATGTATTTGTCTGGTGCACACTGGGGACGTTTGCACATCTATTCCAATGTGGTTTTACTGCAAAAGGAAAACAAACGGAATCCAGCCTGAACAATTTTATAATCTGGGCTGTTACTAAAATGTTTGGACACCCTGCTTTAGATCTTTGTAACCTGTGACCTGTGACTGTTGTAGAAGCCCAGACGAACGTGGACTTCCTGAAGAACATTGGAGAAGGAGTGGCGGCCATGTTGAGTCCTCTGGGTGAGTCTCTGCTCGGACAGTGGGTTGTGGTGACTGTTTGTGACTGACCCGAGCGCTGTCCTCTGTTCAGGCATCGACGTGGACATCGACGTGGAACATGGAGGACAGCGCACCAAAGTCAATCCGTCCAATCAGAGTCAAGACGTGGAGATGGAGGCGGAGGGGGGCGGGGCTAACGAGTCGCCAGTGCCTGTGAGTCGTGCTGCTTCACTGAACCCACTGGAACTGACGGAAACCTCCCTGACTCCACTGTTTACATCATCACCATCTTATTACAAAACAATTACCTTTTGCACTCGTTCAAAAGAACCCGATCAGTCACAATCTGATGCTTTGGGCTGTGAGCGTCTGGGTCTGATCCTAATGGCTGCAGTGTCCTCAGTTGTATCCCCTCCGACCAATCAAAGAGCAGGGGAGGCGGGTGTTGTAGAGAGGTGTCAAGAGTTTGCGCTGAATTTGCTGGTTGTAGTTTGGCGGGGAATGCGATAGTAAAGTAATCTGTTCTGGTTCAATCCAAATATCAAGAAATTGAAGCCGGAGCAAGAGGAATGTTTAGTAAATATCATTGCTGCAAAGATGTTGTGGCAAAGGAGATGGCTAGTGGCAAAGGAGATGGCTAAAGCTAGAATAAATGCTTGGGCTAGGCTAAATGCTAAATGCTAACGACTCGGGCACGGGTAATGCTCACTCGGGCACGTTACATACGTCACGGTAAACTCGGATCCAATCGTCTCAATCTACAAAAGGAGTTAACCCCTTCCACCTGTTAACAGAGCTCAATGGAGCACCTCCAGACCTTTAGTACCAAAGGAAATTTGTACGACGGTATGAACCAGGCTAGGTAGGAGCGGGAACTGGGAAAAATGTGAAGATTCCATAGTACTGCAATATTTGGGATTCTTAACATGTTGCGAAAGAGCAAGTTCTGCATTAAATCAGATGTAAATGACCAGAGGATGGTGATGATGGTGGAAATGATCCGTTCTGGTTTTGTTTGAGTCTGTGGACCAGGACTTCCCTGTAGTCCACGTCTGACCCTGTGCTCCTTCTGTAGTCCACGTCTGACCATGTGCTCCTTCTGTAGTCCACGTCTGAACCTGTGCTCCTTCTGTAGTCCACGTCTGACCCTGTGCTCCTTCTGTAGTCCACGTCTGACCCTGTGCTCCTTCTGTAGTCCACGTCTGAACCTGTGCTCCTTCTGTAGTCCACGTCTGAACCTGTGCTCCTTCTGTAGTCCACGTCTGACCCTGTGCTCCTTCTGTAGTCCACGTCTGACCCTGTGCTCCTTCTGTAGTCCACGTCTGAACCTGTGCTCCTTCTGTAGTCCACGTCTGACCCTGTGCTCCTTCTGTAGTCCACGTCTGACCCTGTGCTCCTTCTGTAGTCCACGTCTGAACCTGTGCTCCTTCTGTAGTCCACGTCTGACCCTGTGCTCCTTCTGTAGTCCACGTCTGACCCTGTGCTCCTTCTGTAGTCCACGTCTGAACCTGTGCTCCTTCTGTAGTCCACGTCTGACCCTGTGCTCCTTCTGTAGTCCACGTCTGACCCTGTGCTCCTTCTGTAGTCCACGTCTGAACCTGTGCTCCTTCTGTAGTCCACGTCTGACCCTGTGCTCCTTCTGTAGTCCACGTCTGACCCTGTGCTCCTTCTGTAGTCCACGTCTGAACCTGTGCTCCTTCTGTAGTCCACGTCTGACCCTGTGCTCCTTCTTTTTTCAGAGCGGCTCGGACGAGGAGTGGACTGACCTGAGCTCGAAGGAAGTGGACCCTTCCACTGGAGAACTGCAGTCTCTGAACGCCCAGGACCTGGACCAAGACCTGAAGGAGGCCCCCAGCGGTCTGAAGGAGGCCCCCAGCGGTCTGAAGGAGGCCCCCAGCGGTCTGAAGGAGGCCCCCAGCGGTCTGAGGGAGGCTGCGCTCTACCCCCACCTCCCCCCGGGTAAGACGGGGGACACAGATTTCAATCATGTTCCACCATTTTTTCACTTGTCAAAAACAGACCTGGAGTTGTTTTGAGCTCCATGTCCTACAACTGTGTGTTGGCGCTAATGTTGCAAAGGGGCGGAAAGTCCCATGGTAAATTTCTATGGGAAGTTTGGAGGAATAGCTGGGGATTTTTGGAAATATTTCACATTAGTTAATTTTATTTTATGGCCCCTTTAAAGACACAAAGGAACGCCTTTAAAATAGATTAAAAAACATTATACATAATGTTGAAAATACAGAACAAAGTACATTTAAAATATATAAAAAATAATGCACCAATTTAAAAAATGCTCATTCAACATTTGGAATATTTCTATGGGAACTATGGGAGTTTAAGGGAACTAACTGGAAATGAATTGTAATGGCACTAAATTGTATCATATCCGGGCATACACATAAACGGAAATCCTAATAAAACATCTGTAAGAATGTAAGTAGCAAGTAGAACAAGTTCAAGTCCATCTTGAAAAAATCTCAAAATATTACAACCCTAGTTATCTTTTCACGTTTATCCACATTTGTGCTAAAAAAATACAGAGTACAGATTTTCAAGATCATGTTTAAGCACCAAAAACTAGAATGATACATATTTAATTCAAAGGAACTCGTTTTAACAATCTCTTTCTGTTCTGTTGTGCTTGCAGAGGCGGACCCTGGCCTGGTGGAGGCGCTGTCCCACATGTTGTCCATGGGCTTCACAGATGAGGGGGGGTGGCTGACCCGGCTGCTCCAGGCCAAAGGAGGCGACATTGGGGCCGCTCTGGACGCCATCCAATACAACGCCAACAACAAGCGTCGCTAATGCTAATGCTAATGCTCAAGCTGAGGTCACATGCCCGCTCCTAAACAGCTCTCTCCTACTCTCATATTTATCTGGAGGGTTTTTAAATATCTAAAGTTTTAAATCCTTAAAAACGCTACCCTTTAATAGTTTCCTCAACCATTTGGTAGATAACGTTTTGAGCCTCTATCTACTTTAGGCTTGGAATTTAAAATCTACCACTTTACTTTGTTTTAGGCATTTTTCCATCAAACTGCATCTCGACCAGTTGGCAAAGGTCTATAATAGAAAAAAACTAGGGGTTAATTTGTAGTAATGCTCCTACATCTAAGAAAATCAAAAAAATAAATGACTTATTTTCCTTCTCTGGGAGTTCAAGGTAAAACTACTCGCATTTAAAGAACAAAACATTCGAAGTAATTAGAAAAACTACATGAACACACAGAAAAAGCCACAGTTATGAAGGCATTTGGTTTCACTGCAACAGAGGAAACTGTTGCTTTATATTCAGATTACGAGGAGCGTTAGGGCTGCGGCTGTGACCTATGTTCAGTCATTCCTTTCTTTTATACTGTTATAATCAACATTCTTCATCTTCTTGTCATTTTATATCTTTGTTTTGATCTTACAGTAATTCTCTGTGTCGTCTCCAATCTGAGAATAAACTGCAAACAAAAGCCACAAAAGACTCTGACTGTGTTTATATTGTTAAGATATTGTTGACCTGAGGCTGTAGACCCAGGACTGAGGCTGTAGACCCAGGACTGAGGCTGTAAGACCCAGGACTGAGGCTGTAGACCCAGGACTGAGGCTGTAAGAGCCAGGACTGAGGCTGTAGACCCAGGACTGAGGCTGTAAGAGCCTTGTAACAGACATGTGCCCTTCACACCGTTTTCAAACTGACAGAATCTGATCACAGAGAATCGAACCATTTGACTTTGACGTATTCATGTCTTTATTACACACACTGTTCTTTGGCTCAAAAACTCTGTAGAAGACAAATGAAATATGTTTCATTCACAGAAATATTCCAATACAAAAAAAAGTTGAGCAGCGTAACGTCCCAGATCTCCACGATCACATGAACGCAGCATCTGGCCGAGAACAATCGTCAGAGTCAACATCAGTGTAAACAGGGGTTCGATGAGCAACTCAGGAGCAGCTCAGGAGCAGCTCAGGAGCAGCTCAGGAGCAGCTCAGGAGCAGCTCAGGAGCAGCTTAGGTCCAGGCTGTGGGCCATCAGCTCCTCCTCCACATTCTCCAAAGCCCATTTGTGTTCCACCACCTGCAGTGCCTCCCACTCACTCTGTGGAGATACACACACACACATGGACACACAAAAACACACACACAGACGTTTTTTTCATTATTATGTAAACCTTAGTGGTGGAGCCAAATCCAGCAGGGGGCGCTCTGGGGGGCCCTTTGCTGTTGTGAGATGGTCTTCTGTCCATGTTAAGATTAGCTGACCGTAGTTGGGTATGCTAACCACAAGAGGGCATTAGAATATTGTGGTTAACTGCACCCCATGCTGAAACTAAATAAAATTTGATGAAGACCACGGCCTCCTGACAAAAGCACTATGATTTCTGGTGTGGCTGAAACACACAGTATGTCTTACAGCTGCAAAAGGTATTATTTTTGTCATTTGCTATTTATTTGTTTCCTGCATATTCTGCAATGGATTGGCATATCCAACTTTATATTTCAGTTTCATAGTTCATATCCTATTTTTTTATTTTTTATCACTAGTGACGCATACACGCACGCTCAGTCTGTGTGTCTGTGTGTGTGCGTGTACCTTAAAGGCCTTGTTGGGGTCTGGGGGCATGTTCATGGCAGAGCCGGTCATCTGGTCCTGGAGGATCTGAGTCTGGTCCACAACTGTAACATACACCAGAGTCAGGACTTGAGCAGGACTTGAGCAGGTCTAAAGCAGGTCTAAAGCAGGTCTAAAGCAGGTCTATCCATTTCCATCCATTTTCTTCCGCTTCATCCATTGCCGGGTCGCTGGGGCAGCAGTCTAAGCAGAGACGCCCAGACTTCCCTCTCCACATATACTTCCTCCAACTCATCCTCAGACCCCAAGGCAATCCCAGGCCACAGAGAGACAAGTCCCACTGTGTCCAAGGTCTACCCTTGGTCTCTCTGCACTCCAGAATTTGGGTGCTGGAAAAGTCATTGTTACGCTTAAGGGGCACATAGTTTTGGCTGTCACCTGTGTGCAGGTGGAATGACACCCCAAACCTCAGAAGGATAGCTTCTAAAGGCAACAGATTCAATGAAAACAGGAGTGACCCAAGGATAGACCCTTGGATCACCCCACATTGTCGTGAGGCTGTGGAGGAAATAAAGTCACCAACTCTCACACAGAAACTCCTGTCTCTCAGATAAGACCAGAACCATTCCAGAGCATAGCCTGAATGCTTAGGAGAAACAGTTTTGGTGGAGATGTATCCAGTTGTTATATTGTTGATATATTGTTGAACCACAGAGCCGTCCGCTGTTTCTTATGAGGATATATAAGAATAAGGGACACATGTGTAATATGTTCTGATGTTGCAGCTGTAGGTCTCCCACAGAGAGTGAAGCGGAGGAAAGCACAGACTCACAGTTGTCGTGTCCCAGGACCAGCGTGTACATCCGGCGCAGTCCAAAGACGTTGAGGAAGTACCAGGAGGCGGAGCTTACCCTAAGAGCAAAGGGACCACATACTGAGAGCACAAGGCCTTGGTGGAACGTTGATTGTGTTTCATGTTATAAAATGTGAACGCTCGCTGATTGGTCGGAGGGGATTTAACCGAGGAAACTGCAGCCACTAGGATTAGACCCAGACGTACATGTAGGAAATTATAATGGACCGGAGTTTATGGAGAGCTAAGGCCAGGCCAGTGTTCCTCTGGTCTAGTGTATGATCCAGTGTGTGACTGTTGTGGTTTCAGTGAGTCAGTTGTGTGTCACTCACCAGGAAGCATCCAGTGAGACCAGGTCCACTCCTCTCTGCAGCATCGGCTTAAACCTCAGGGTGAGAGGGAAAGGAACTTTGGCTGTGACACACACACACACAGACACAGACAAAGACAGACACACACACAGACTCACTTTATAGTCCTGTTGTGCACTGTGTTTAGAGTAATACACACATTGAATGTAAGTGAATAGTGCTCCTGCACTCACTAGTGAGAAAGCCAGAGAAGGCCCAGTTGATCCAACCTCCGATCACGATCATGGGCAGAACGTTGGTCAGGTTTCCTTTCATCATGTCCAGCACCATACTACTGTCTGAAACACACAGTTTCATCATGTCCAGCACCATACTACTGTCTGAAACACAGTTTCATCATGTCCAGCACCATACTACTGTCTGAAACACACAGTTTCATCATGTCCAGCACCATACTACTGTCTGAAACACACAGTTTCATCATGTCCAGCACCATACTACTGTCTGAAACACACAGTTTCATCATGTCCAGCACCATACTACTGTCTGAAACACACAGTTTCATCATGTCCAGCACCATACTACTGTCTGAAACACACAGTTTCATCATGTCCAGCACCATACTACTGTCTGAAACACACAGTTTCATCATGTCCAGCACCATACTACTGTCTGAAACACACAGTTTCATCATGTCCAGCTCCATACTACTGTCTGTAACACACAGTTTCATCATGTCCAGCACCATACTACTGTCTGAAACACACAGTTTCATCATGTCCAGCACCATACTACTGTCTGAAACACACAGTTTCATCATGTCCAGCACCATACTACTGTCTGAAACACACAGTTTCATCATGTTCAGCACCATACTACTGTCTGAAACACACAGTTTCATCATGTCCAGCACCATACTACTGTCTGAAACACAGTTTCATCATGTCCAGCACCATACTACTGTCTGAAACACACAGTTTCATCATGTCCAGCTCCATACTACTGTCTGAAACACACAGTTTCATCATGTCCAGCACCATACTACTGTCTGAAACACACAGTGAATGAAAGGGATAAATGCATACACGAGAAGTAAGAAGCTGCTTCCTTTCAAATGCAAGAGTGAGTAAAAGACCCTTTTAGACCCTGGGTCCAGGATCAATTTAGGGTCGAACCAGGAGCGAACAGGGCCTAAACCAGAACTGAACCAGAATTGAACCAGGTCTAAACTAGTACTGAACTAGGTCTGACAAAAGTTCTAAATCAGGACAAAATGGCGCCTGATCAGCTTCTGCGTCCAAAAGAACCATCTTGAAGGCTGCTCACAGTCAAATAATTTCAAACTGAGAGGGAGGATTTCTTTGCAACAAAACAGGCTCTCGGTACTTTCTCCACAAGATGGCCGCCATCTTGTGGCAACACAAAATGATTTAATGACGAGGTGTTTTCACACTGTTATACATTAGCCACATTCTACGTCGGCCGTAGTAATAGCGGCTTATTGTCAAGCATGCCTGACCAGGTCTATCCCAGGTCTAAACCAGGTCTAAACCAGGTCTAAACCAGGTCTAAACCAGGTCTAAACCAGGTCTAAACCAGGTCTAAACCAGGTCTAAACCAGGTCTAAACCAGGTCTATCCCAGGTCTAAACCAGGTCTAAACCAGGTCTATCCCAGGTCTAAACCAGGTCTAAACCAGGTCAGAGGTAAGACTTAACCAGATCTAAACCAGGACCGGGTCAGGTCTGCTGATGGTGGTACCAGTGAGGGGGTTCTTGGGGATGACTTTCCTCTTGGTCTTCTTGAAGAATCCGGTCTCTGAGTTGTTGAAGTAGTGTTTCCTCATCATGAACGACTGAAAAGATAAAAGTCAGTGAAGAGGAACCACCGTGCATCGCTCTGGTCTCTCGCTCTGGTCTCTCTCACTGGTCTCTCTTACTGGTCTCTCTCACTGGTCTCTCTCACTGGTCTCTCTCACTGGTCTCTCTCACTGGTCTCTCTCACTGGTCTCTCTCACTGGTCTCTCTCACTGGTCTCTCGTTCTGGTCTCTCTCACTGGTCTCTCTCACTGGTCTCTCTCACTGGTCTCTCTCACTGGTCTCTCTCACTGGTCTCTCTCACTGGTCTCTCTCACTGGTCTCTCGCTCTGGTCTCTCGCTCTGGTCTCTCTCACTGGTCTCTCTCACTGGTCTCTCTCACTGGTCTCTCTCACTGGTCTCTCTCACTGGTCTCTCTCACTGGTCTCTCTCACTGGTCTCTCGCTCTGGTCTCTCGCTCTGGTCTCTCTCACTGGTCTCTCTCACTGGTCTCTCTCACTGGTCTCTCTCACTGGTCTCTCTCACTGGTCTCTCTGTTATAACTATCTATAACTGCTGTTTATCTATAACTATAACGTGTGATACTCACGTGTTGTGGCAGGTACTTCCCGTTCTCTCGGAGGATTCGGCTTCGCAGTAAAACCTGACTAAAGGAACAGAAAATAGCACCTTGTTATAATCAGATGGAACTGAAGTAAAGTTAGTAATGAATAAGTTAAGTGATTGTTACATCTGTCATGAAATTCATTTTTTATTAATTAGACCAAATCAAAGCTGGACTAGATCTGTAATTGCTTTAATTCTATAGTAATAACAGAGTCTTAAACCTCTTCTCAGCTTGTTTTGGTGTATGGTTAATTGATTACATACTTAGTTGACAATTTCAAACATAGATCAGTTGTAATTAATCCATAATTCTATGGCCCGGCATATTGTCAAAATAATAGTAAAAAAAAAAAAAGCACTACTAATACTACTGCTACAACTACCACTACTGTTACTATTAGGACTACTACTACTTACAATAATAATACAAAATAGATAGACGTTTTGACTGTGTCTCTGAGCTGGGACGCTCAGGATTCCCCCAGATGAGCTGGAGGAGGTGTGTGTGGAGAGGGAGGTCTTTAGCTGTGTTCCCACCATCGATGCATGGACGTGCGTTACTGCGTTCACAAAATTTCAGCTGCATGAGTTAAGTCAATCTGATGTACTGCGATGGGGACAAAAGTAGAAGTGGGTACTTATGTATCGGCGAACACATCAGCAGCACTTGTTTACAGTCACAGTGGAATGTCAGCTCAGACTGAAGACATATGTTCACAAGCTGTGACCCCCATTGTCAGCCGTGGTTTACGCCTGGTTTAGCTCATGTTTTGGTTGTTTTCGAGTGTCTGTTTGGACCGGTGTGTGCCCCGTGACCATTTAGCTGCTCTCTGATGTTCATCTCCTGCTTATGACGTACAAGCAATTCCGCGCAGGGCGTACGTCACCATTGACTTTGCATTGAAACTCGCCGCAGCATGATCCAGTGGGAACTCAGCTTCAGTCTCTGCTTAAACTGCTGCCCCCAAGACCCGGCAACAGATAAAGCGGAAGAGAAGGGATGGATAGATGTAAAACAGACGGGGGTGAACAGTGAGTAGTCACCTGTCGGAGATGGCCTCGAGCCCCGCCTCCTTGTCCCTCTGCAGCAGAGCGGACACATGATGACGGAGGAGGCCAGAGAAGAAGGTGATGAAGACGATGGGGAGGACCACCCACAGGCGAATACTGGAGTCCAGCAGCAGCTCCGGACCCATGCCACCTGCAGACAGAGAAACATAGCTGTTCAAAGACAATTCTCCAGATAAAATATTAAATAATAGTGTTTATTAATAACAATAATAATGTGCAACAACTGAAGTATTTGATCTCTACTCTTTTTAATGCACTGTGGTGGTTTATCTTAATCCCCTGTGGGATTTTTATTTGTATGTTTTTAATGTTCCATCTGATCTTGAGGATTGTTTTTACTGTGTGATTTTAATGATTATGATTTGGTGGTTTGATGTGATATGAGCTGTGAAGCACTCATAGGTTGATGGATTGATATTAAACTGTCTAATTTCTCATTTATTTTCAGATCATAATTTCTTGGTAATAATGCTGAGTGTTATGGTTGGTCTTAGAGTCTAGTCTAGAATGTTCTACTTCCAGGTGGATCATCTAGACTATTGGTCCTCCCACTTGTCAATCATTCTGGTGATACGTGCTCGTCAAATAAAACCAGAGAGTCTTTTGGAGGGGAAATTCTCCTATAAACATTGAGGAATAAATAAAGAAAATCAATAAATAAAGTCGTCCACAGTGGAATCTATTTCTGTCCCAAATCTGGGCCTGGTGCTTGCTCCCACACACCTGTCAGACACACGCTCGTTTCCGTACTTTACATGAACTTTTGTGCTTTAAACAGACGACAGACTCGACCCGCTCCCATACCGCTCCAATACCACTGCCACCGCACTCCCCTCGCCCTGTGCAACACTTTAGAGCACGTCCGACCAAAGAAAGAGCTTCTACTCACCGAGGTTTGGGGTTCCACTTCCACACACTGCTTCAACTCACTCGGGCAGCCACTGTCAATCATGCGTGAGTCCCGCCCATTGCCCCGCCCACTCAGGGGCGCAATTTTTTTTCTTTTTTTAAACTTGTTTTTCTGTTTGCAAACAATAGACACACAGGTCATCATTGAATTCAAATGTTTCATACATTTTTTATTTAATTAATTAAAGTAGAAGAAGCTGTGTGCGGAAGTGTGTCACTGTCAACACGCGCATGCGCAGTACGGCTTTGTTTCCATTGATCGCAGCGAGTGCGACCAGTCCACTGTTTACGAGGTTCCTATCCTCAAAACGCAGATATGTACGACCAGGAGGAAGGTAAGACACACACGCTGAGGCCCCCGAGACTTCTGTGAGGGGCCCCAAGTGGTACTGGCTCCAAACTAAGCTCTGAAGTCATGAGTATTTGTAATAATCCCAAAGGAGGGAAAGTGTGCTAATGCTAATGTGCTAGTGTGTATAGTTCTATTTCTGTTCTATGGACAGGGGTGGTAAACGTACTCAGCCGGCAAGCACCTGGGTTCGAATCCCGGGTGGAACAAGGTCTTTCTAGGTGGAGGTTGCATGCTCACTCTGTATCTGCGGATGTCTCCTCCGGATGCTCCGGTTTCTACCACTAAAGCATGTACAACAGGCAGAATCCTCCAGCTCTGGTCCTGACTCCTAAACAAAGACAAATGACACCCTCCTAGGCCTAACATCACTGGAATATTTAGTGATTCATGAAGTAGATTGATTAAACAAGTGAGTGAAGAGTTAGCCCAGTCTTGAATGTCAAATTAAATACTGTAATCTTCATCCACATTGATTCACATGCTTTATATTTTGTATTTATTAAAGACAACAAAACAGACACACATCAACATTCAACAACACAACATAAAACTAAGACAAGAAAATAGAATAATGTACACAAGTAGACAAAGGTGAAAATTACACAAAGATTATTACATGTTAAGTTGAGGTGTGTGTGGAGTGTGGTGTGCTACATATTTGTTGAACCTCATGATATTTTTACTATATTTCAGTTTTATTTTAGAAATCATTGTCGATTAGTACAAAAAAAATTGACAGCACGAGAAACGTTTAGAAATTATATTTTGTATTAACCTGGAGCACCCTTCAGTTTTATGCACAGTTAAACAACGCTGATTAACCTGGATTCGACCATTGTCAGATAAGAAACCTTTCTTACATTTCAGGAAGACTGATCTATATTTTAGCTGCATAAATCTGAAATGCTGCGGCCTCCCCGTTAAATACAGGTCTGAGCTTTGCAGGTAAATATGACTGTAAACTGTTGGTTTTGTGCAGACCCGCAGTACGATGAAGATGAGGATGAGATCACCCCTGATCTGTGGCAGGAGGCCTGTTGGATTGTCATCAGGTAAAACAGCGTCACTCGACTCGTCAGCTGGGATTGTGAGCAGTTTCACTTAGGATTTATGTATCTTTCATAACATTGCTGCTACACATGCATTGTTATTCTCGTCTTGCCTGTATGGTTAGCCTTAAACTCCTCCTGGATTCTTTAATTTCAGTGACTATTGTTTTTGTCCTTTTTAGCTTGTTTTATGTCTGTACTTCTCTAGTGCACATTGGAGACTTTTGCATATGTTTCCAATATAGTTTTCCTGCATATGGCAAATACATTTAATCTGAATCTGCGACACGAGAATTCAGTGTCTAATAAGGAAAGTTGGTGATACAATAACGGTATTGAATCAGAAATATCCAAATCAAATGTTTACATTAATGATGTAGCCTTCATACACAAACAGGGTTCAGCAGAAACACACCCAGTCACACAAACACATTAGTACATTAACTAATTAACTAACAATAGTGCACATGTTCAACTCAGACAGATCTGATGCTCCGTCTTTTAGCCGAGGAAACAAAGGAGCTCTTAAAAGTGATATGGTGTTTTTTTTTTGCTTTAGGCTGGTGTTGTTGAAAATGTGCTATACAGATAAAGATGACACAGGAGGTCATGGCTGAATGTTTTTGCTTTGTTCTCAGCTCTTACTTTGATGAGAAAGGTCTGGTCCGGCAGCAGCTGGATTCTTTCGATGAGTTTATTCAGATGTCTGTCCAGAGAATCGTGGAGGACGCTCCTCCCATCGACCTGCAGGCAGAGGCCCAGCACACCTCAGGGGAGGTGGAGGAACCAGTGAGTCTGGGACCACTCTGGGACATCCACGTGGAGGGGCCGTGTGTTCGGTCACTGAGAGTCGGGCTCGGGCATCTGGGACTAACCATCATCATTCTTTATAACGATTGATCTCAATACGTTTTTATGTGATTTTAGTGGCTTTAGATCAGGCCAGATTCAACCCTTTGTGTTATGGTCTGTGGCCGCTAACACAAAGAAGTCTTTGAGATCATGAACATAAGTTCACGTTGTCATCCAGCCAACTTTAGCTCAGCCAATACATGTACATTTTTGTAAGGCTCAAACCTCTGGAATTCACCCTTTGACTTTTAAAAGTATATGCTGAGTTCAAAGTGTCCTTCATAACTAATTATAAAGCCCAGAACAGGCCAAATCCAGGACAAAAAGGTTCTGCAATCTGGGATGTTGGCCCCTGGACAAGTGTGGTTTAACTAAAGTGGCTTCTTACTAAGAGTTTGGACAAGATGCTTTTGGGCAAAAGTTGTAATCTCTTTGATCTTTGGATTTAGTGACGCAGCCCAACTTCCAATAATTGATATTTTCAATATTGTATTCAAGACAAAATCTTAGAAAAGCATAACGTTTCAGATGACATTCCCATAATGTCTCAAAATGTAAAGATTGATGATTTCAGTGGAGAAACTGTCTAATCCTGAGCCTGACTTCTGTTCGTGTGTCCAGCCTCGCTTCCTGCTGAAGTTCGAGCAGATTTATCTTTCCAAACCCACGCACTGGGAACGAGACGGAGCCCCTTCTCCCATGATGCCCAACGAAGCTCGCCTCCGCAACCTCACGTAAGTCTGCCCCTGCTGAACCCCTGAGAGATGGTGGTCTTTTTGTCTCCCCCCGGTTGAGCAGGAGGTGAGTGGAGAGGGAAGTCTGGGCGTCTCTGCTTAGGCTACTGCTACTGCTATCACTTGTATTTGAACGTCACAGGTCATCAGAGAACAGACCTGCAGTTACTATAGAATATTCAGAAGTTTCCATAGAATTGGGCCGAGTATAAAAATACCATACTGAAGCTGGACTCTTGTGTGTGTTCTCAGATACTCTGCTCCTCTGTACGTGGACATCACCAAAACTATCATCAAAGAGGGAGAGGACCAGCTCCAGACCCAGCACCAGAAGACCTTCATCGGCAAGATTCCCATCATGCTCCGCTCCACGTACTGCCTCCTGAGCGGCCTGACCGACAGAGACCTGTGCGAGCTCAACGAGTGCCCTCTGGACCCCGGTGGATACTTCATTATCAATGGCTCCGAGAAGGTCAGTCCTTTTACTGCCCTGGTCCCTTTGTGCTGTGTGTCTCACTGCCCTGGTCCCTGTGTGTCTCACTGCCCTGGTCTCTGTGTGTCTCACTTCCCTGGTCCCTGTGATCATCCAGGTGCTGATCGCGCAGGAGAAGATGGCCACAAACACAGTCTACGTCTTTGCCAAAAAGGACTCCAAATACGCTTACACCGCAGAGTGCCGGTCGTGCCTGGAGAACTCGTCCAGACCCACCAGCACCATCTGGGTCAGCATGATGGCCCGCGGAGGACAGGTTTGGACCTTTCTTTAGTAATTCACCACAGACTTCAGTGACGGACAGTGTAACTCTTTAAAACCAGTGTAGGGCTATGGTTAGTAAGTTACTTTAATAATAATAAATAATCTCAGCTAATAAATGCTATCTTGATTTATTCAGCACTTTGTGTGTGAATTGTGCAAATATAGTAACATAAATAGTAATATACAGTGCCTTGCGAAAGTATTCGGCCCCCTTGAACCTTTCAACATTTTGCCACATTTCAGGCTTCAAACATAAAGATATAAAATTTTAATTTTTTGTCATGAATCAACAACAAGTGGGACACAATCGTGAAGTGGAACGAAATTTATTGGATAATTCAAACTTTTTTAACAAATAAAAAACTGAAAAGTGGGGCGTGCAATATTATTCGGCCCCTTTACTTTCAGTGCAGCAAACTCACTCCAGAAGTTCAGTGAGGATCTTTGAATGATCCAATGTTGTCCTAAATGACTGATGATGATAAATAGAATGCACCTGTGTGTAATCAAGTCTCCGTATAAATGCACCTGCTCTTTGATAGTCTCAGGGTTCTGTTTAAAGCACAGAGAGAACCATGAAGACAAAAGAACACACCAGGCAGGTCCGAGATACTGTTGTGGAGAAGTTTAAAGCCGGATTTGGATACAAAAAGATTTCCCAAGCTTTAAACATCTCAAGGAGCGCTGTGCAAGCAATTATATTGAAATTGAAAGAGTATCAGACCACTGCAAATCTACCAAGACCCGACCGTCCCTCCAAACTTTCCTCTCAAACAAGGAGAAGACTGATTAGAGATGCAGCCAAGAGGCCCATGATCATTCTGGATGAACTGCAGATAACTACAGCTGAGGTGGGAGAGTCTGTCCATAGGACAACAATCAGTCGTGCACTGCACAAATCTGGCCTTTATGGAAGAGTGGCAAGAAGAAAGCCATTTCTCAAAGATATCCATAAAAAGTCTCGTTTAAAGTTTGCCACAAGCCACCTGGGAGACACACCAAACATGTGGAAGAAGGTGCTCTGGTCAGATGAAACCAAAATCAAACTTTTTGGCCACAATGCAAAACGATATGTTTGGCGTAAAAGCAACACAGCTCATCACCCTGAACACACCATCCCCACTGTCAAACATGGTGGTGGCAGCATCATGGTTTGGTTCTGCTTTTTTTCAGCAGGGACATGGAAGATGGCTAAAATTGATGGGAAGATGGATGGAGCCAAATACAGGACCATTCTGGAAGAAAACCTGTTGGAGTCTGCAAAAGACCTGAGACTGGGACGGAGATTTATGTTCCAACAGGACAATGATCCAAAACATAAAGCCAAATTTACAATGGAATGGTTCACAAATAGACGTATCCAGGTGTTAGAATGGCCAAGTCAAAGTCCAGACCTGAATCCAATCGAGAATCTGTGGAAAGAGCTGAAGACTGCTGTTCACAAACGCTCTCCATCCAACCTCACTGAGCTCGAGCTGTTTTGCAAGGAAGAATGGGCAAGAATTCCAGTCTCTCGATGTGCAAAACTGATAGAGACATACCCCAAGCGACTTGCAGCTGTAATCGCAGCAAAAGGTGGCGCTACAAAATGTATGCGCAAGGGGCCGAATAATATTGCACGCCCCACTTTTCAGTTTTTTATTTGTTAAAAAAGTTTAAATTATCCAATAAATTTCGTTCCACTTCACGATTGTGTCCCACTTGTTGTTGATTCTTGACACAAAAAAAATTATTTATATCTTTATGTTTGAAGCCTGAAATGTGGCGAAATGTTGAAAGGTTCAAGGGGGCCGAATACTTTCGCAAGGCACTGTATATATATATATATATATATATATATATATATATATATATATTATTACTACAAACTGAATGTAGCTCATGACGGTATTGCATTTCTAAATAATGGGAGTCTGTCCATCTGTTAAATTTACATTGTTGCCGACGTAGTGCCTGCTTCTGCTTCAGCCTCAGCAGTCTTCTACCGGAAAGGAACAACACTTCTTGGCAAATACTATTAGTGTGGAACTCCTTTTGCAGATTGAAACAATTCGATCTGAGTTTGCCATGATGTATGTATTTAATGAGTGAGGCATTTAGTCTAACTTTAGCATTTAGCCTAGCTTTAGCCATTTCCTTTGCCACTAACGGATCCAAATTTCTTCATTTTTGGAGCCTAACCAGAACAGATTACTTTACTGTCGCATTCTCCACTGTTGTCAAACTACAACCATCAAATTTGGTGCAAACTTCTTGACGTCACCAACACTGACCTACAACACCTGCCTCCCCGCTCTCTGATTGGTCCGAGGGGATTCAACTGAGGAACCTGCAGCCACTAGGATCAGACCCAGACAAAGGCCCGGCTAGTGTAATGGTGATGGACAGTCTGTATGATAGTGATTCTCGAGTGGGTCTGGGTCTGTGGCAAATGCACTCTATCTTTCTACTGATTGGCCTGGTCGACTACAGACACACGGATCAGTGCCATCCCTCGTGCTTTCAGGACCTAAGTGTGTGTGTGTGTGTGTGTGTGTTCAGGGAGTAAAGAAGAGTGCCATTGGCCAAAGGATCGTGTCCACCCTGCCCTACATCCGACAGGAAGTGCCCATCATCATTGTGTTCCGAGCGCTGGGCTTTGTGTCCGACAGAGACATTCTGGAACACATTATCTACGACTTTGACGACCCAGAGATGATGGAGATGGTGAGTCTCCCTCTGTTTGTAATGTTCCTCAGTGATATCAAACTACTACATTATTTAAGGATGGTTTTACTGCTCAAGAAGTAAAGACACATCTTCCATTGGGCATCCTCTTCGCAGATATGACCCAGAACAAACCTGCTTGTAAATGGAAAAGTTTGATCCATACAAATGATAGCATTTGGATCGATCCGCGCAAAAGCTACAGCCACTCCAGAAATGTACTTAAAGCTCAGCAAAACTTGTGATTTAAATTAATTTGTGTATAGACTTAAATCACAGCAGCAGTGGTCTCATAGGATCCAGTACTGAGGCCGTAGATCCGGGACTGAGGCGTATATATCCGGGACTGAGGCCGTATATATCCGGGACTGAGGCCGTATATATCCGGGACTGCGGCCGTATATATCCGGGACTGAGGCCGTATAGATCGAGGACTGATAATAACAGATAAAGTAGGAATATTTGTTTACAGAAATGTTCATTAAAATCTTCTTGTTGCTAAAAGAGTAAAAGTTCATAAATGCAACAGTGTGACATAGATTGTTTACCCCTAACTGTGTTTTGTGCCTCAGGTGAAGCCCTCTCTGGACGAGGCCTTCGTGATCCAGGAGCAGAACGTGGCTCTGAACTTCATTGGTTCTCGAGGAGCCAAACCCGGAGTGACCAAAGAGCGCAGGATCAAGTACGCCAAGGAGGTCCTGCAGAAGGAGATGCTGCCCCACGTGGGAGTCAGCGACTTCTGCGAGACCAAGAAGGCCTACTTCCTGGGGTCAGTCCCTCTGCCACCTGCACCCAGTCCCCCAGTCCCCCAGTCCCCCAGTCCCCCAGTCCCCAGTCCCCAGTCCCCAACCCCCTAGAGCTAGAGCAGTATTTCTCACACTGTGGTTCAGTTATTATTTACTGAGTGAAGAGTCATTTTCTTCCAAACGTTAGACCTTTTTTAAATGAAGAAAACTACTATGACAGTGTTCTCATATTGGCGATGAAAAGATGGATCAAATACACTGTAAAACTCCTATACAGACATTGAGCAGACTCCCACCCCATGAACACAATTTAAATACATTCATGAAGTTTATTTATTTAGCATTGAATAATAGTTGGCCCTACTCTAATCTACCTGGCTACCGGGTCTCTTTGCTTTTGGATCTGGTACTGTATCCTAGCAACATCTCCACAAACAACCAGTATCAAGAGAAAGTCCCTGGTTGGTGGAATCGGGCTTATGTAGGCTACAGACTAGAACAGATCATGGGTTCAGGGAGGCACAAAAAGAAGCCGTTTTTATAATGTTAAAATCTACCTTTGTGTGTGCGTGTTTGTATTTGTGTTTGATGGTGCTTCCCTCTGCCTTCACAGCTACATGGTCCATCGCCTCCTGCTGGCCGCTCTGGGCCGCAGAGAGCTGGATGACAGGGATCACTATGGAAACAAGAGGCTGGACCTGGCGGGACCGCTGCTGGCGTTCCTGTTCAGAGGGTCAGGATTCTAATTTTTTATTTGACTACACTCACATGAATGTTTTACTGAAATCAGATCCCAGAGTTGAATGGCTTCCTTCCTATTGTCCACTTGAATTAAAACTTGTTTGGTTTCAGGATGTTTAAAAATCTGCTGAAAGAAATTAGAATCTACGCTCAGAAGTTCATTGACCGAGGAAAAGACTTTAACCTGGAGCTGGCCATCAAGACCCGCATCATCTCCGACGGCCTCAAGTATTCTCTGGCCACGGGCAACTGGGGCGACGTGAAGAAGGCCCACCAGGCCAGGGCAGGGGTATCACAGGTACAGCTCCCACTGACCTGAAGAAGGCCCACCAGGCCTTCATGAGGGGTTATTCATGTCTTCCCTTTACGCAGGATCTGAAATAACAGAATAGAACCATGTGAAGAAGTTAGTACTGCTTTAAGATCTGAGAGGCTTCAGCGGGAGCCTTCGATGGAGGTTTGGGTTAGAGTTAGAGGCGACACGTGAGTTAGGAGACGAGTCTTATAATGCCACAGTTTTCCACTGGACGACATTAAGATTTTAAGTTCTTTTTAAGCTGAGCTTTAGTTCCAGCCGTAACATGTTGAACTTGAAGTCCAAGTTGTGTTGATAGTGGCAGACCCGGATCGAGTGGTTTGTACCAACTTAGACTAATATCATCACATATATATAATATAATATAATATAATATGTGTTTAGGTGTTGAACCGTCTGACCTTCGCCTCCACCTTGTCCCATCTGAGGAGAGTCAACTCCCCCATAGGACGAGACGGGAAACTGGCCAAACCCCGACAGCTGCACAACACACTGTGGGGGATGGTGTGCCCTGCAGAGACCCCTGAGGTACAGACCAGGACCAGGACCCAAACAAGCACCTGGTGGAATATTTGGCGATGTGGACTTTTTTGAGATGTTTTCTATGATGCATTTCCTCCCTCAAACAGACCTTGGGTCACTTTTTAAAAAAAACATGTTAATGTCAGGAACGGCACAAACATGTACCTGTTTCTCCTTTTCTGACACAGGGCCATGCGGTCGGGCTGGTGAAGAACCTGGCTCTCATGGCCTACATCTCAGTGGGGTCTCAGCCCAGTCCCATCCTGGAGTTTTTGGAGGAGTGGAGCATGGAGAACCTGGAGGAGATCTCTCCTGCTGCCATCGCAGAGTAAGACACCGATCTCAAAGAGGGCTGTAAATGGTGGTCCCTGGTTTACGTTCTAAAAATCACCCACAATAATAAAAGTCCTTGAAATAGCAGCTTTATGTTTTAAGACCGAGTACTAGCACAAAAGTGTCCTTTAGTACTAATGGTACTACAGTGATTTAACTAACAGTGATAGAGTAGGGTAAAGCTGGTGAAAACGGGAATTTTTTTTCAGCGTGCGCGAGCGTGTGTGTGTGTGTATGTGCGTGTTCACTTTTGGTGTATTGAATAGGTATCTGAGGGTGTTGAAAATTTTCTTTTATTGACCGGTAGTGAGAGAGGGGAGGAAGAAAAGAGAGAGACTAATGATAATAGTAATACTAATAATAATAATAGTAAAAACATAGGGCGAGTTGAGGTGCTATAATCCAAGGGAGGGGGGATTATGGAGGGGGTGGTTATAGAGGGGGTGGTCGTAATGTTGGTGACGAGGGTAGCAGAGCCATAACTAGACATATTAATGTTTTTGGTATGAACGTGAGTAATCTTTCTCCAATCAATCAATTTTGGGCATTATTCTTCTCAATCACACAGAGATAGGAGCGAGTTGGTAGAAGATTGGTGTTGCTCTTCCAGCAGCATCTCTGATTGTGTGGTGCATTAAAAACAGGTTTGGGATGTTGTGCATTAAAAGTGTGTGCTTGAGATGCATGTGGGAAGAGGACTTATTTTTTGTTATTTATTTATTATTTTTGTTATTTGTTCTTTATTTATATATTTTTATTAATTATTAATTCTTTTATTAATTTATTCTTATTCCCTCCTCATCAACATATCACCGTAGAATGTATGTATATCTATATATATATTAACAGGGGTACCCTGGTGTAGCAGCAGGGAGAGAGAGAGAGGTGTGCAAAATACACGATGACATAAATATTGGAAATACGTAAAGTATATAAGGTTAGCTTATGACTGGGGTCTGGGATGCGTGGGGTGTACTGTTTGAGGTGTGGTTGGGGGGTATGTCTTGAAGTGAAATATAATCTGACATTAAGTTTTCCCATGCGGAGGTGTCTCCTAAAAGACAGAGGGATGGGGACATTGGGATGTTGCAGCCAAGTGAAGTGGTGAGTGATTGAGTGACGGCTTTCCAGAATGCTTGGACCGGAGTGCAGTGCCAAAGAGCGTGAATGTAATTGTCCCTACAACCCTGTGTGCAGTGTGGGCAGATGTCTGAAGTGGATCCCATTTTTGATAATTTGTAACCGGTGTAGTGATATCTGTGTAGGATTTTGAATTGTATGAGTTGGAGGTTGGAGTTGGTGGTCATTGAATACATATTTTTGCAGATTTGGGTCCAGAAGTTGGCACTGGGAGTAAATGCTAAATCTTGTTGCCACTTTGCAGTTGGAAGAGATTGTGTATTATCTGATTTGGTGATTATTTTGTATATTTTGGTGTTCAGTTTTTTGGGGGGAATATTTATGAAATCTGCAATTGTATCATGAAGGCCTAGATTTATTGTTTGGATGTTGATTTTTTTTTTGGATTGCTGATTTTAGTTGTAAGTATTCGAGGAAGCATTTACTCCCAATCCCATACTCCTGGGCCAACTGTGTCAGTGGTTTTAAACTGTTATTTGTGAGAATGTGATTGAGGTAAGTTATACCTTTATCTGCCCATGAATGGAAGTACAGAGGTTTATTATTGCTTGTGAATTCTGGGTTGTGCCAAATTGGGGAGCGGATGGATGGGGCAAAGGGGGTGTTTGTTAAATCGTGGAGTTTCCACCAGGCTGTCAGAGCTGCCGATATTGTTGGTGTTTTGAAAAGTGGGTATTTCTTTATTGATTGATTAAGGAAGGGTAGGTCTGAGAGATTGATGTTATTGCAAAGTGATTGTTCAGTGTCCATCCAGATTGAGTCAGATGTGTTTGAGTGGATCCATTTGTATATGTACTGTAAATGATTAGCTAATGAATAGTGGTAAAAATTTGGGGCATTGAGGCCTCCCTGTAGTTTTGGTTTCTGTAGTGTTGCGAGTTTGATACGGGGTGGTTTGTTTTTCCAGTAGAATTTGTTAATGGCAGAGTTGAGTGATTTAAACCAGGTTTGAGTGGGTTGAACAGGGGTCATTGAGAGTATGTAGTTGATTTTGGGGAGTATTGACATTTTAACCAGAGAGATTCTGCCTGTGATTGAAATGGGAAGATTCATCCAGCGTTGTAAATCTTCTTCTAATTGTTTGAGTAAGGGGGAGAGTAACACATAATATTTATAAAATAATGATAATAATTATAAAATTGGTTTAATACAGTGCGTTTTTGGACGTTCAAAGACGCTTCACAGCATTATTCATTCTCTCCAAACACAGTGGTGATAAGCTACTTCTTCTAATGTGGGTGAAGTGTCTTGCCTAAGGACACAACCACAGTTTGGCACTTTACAGCCGCAGCCGCCCCACTGTGGCACCTGGTGTTCCCAGAGGTCTCCCATCACAGGACTAACCAGGCCCTGTCCTGCTCATCATTAAAACTTGTGCTTTTGTTGCAGTGCCACTAAGATCTTTGTGAACGGCTGCTGGGTTGGAATCCACAAGGATCCAGAGCAACTCATGAACACACTGCGGAAGCTCAGGAGACAGATGGACATCATCGTGTCAGAGGTACGGCTCCTCTCTGCTCTTTTCTGCTCCTCTCTTCCCCTCTCTGCTCCTCTCTTCCCCTCTCTGCTCCTCTCTGCTCCTCTCTGCTCCTCTCTTCCCCTCTCTGCTCCTCTCTGCTCCTCTCTGCTCCTCTCTGCCCCTCTCTGCCCCTCTCTGCTCCTCTCTGCTCCTCTCTGCTCCTCTCTGCCCCTCTCTGCCCCTCTCTGCCCCTCTCTGCTCCTCTCTGCTCCTCTCTGCCCCTCTCTGGATTGGATCTATTTATTTATTTATTTATTTGATTGGGACAACACACATTAATGAACAATCATATACAAGTTGTACACAAATTGTAAATGTGCCAGATTGTAGCAAAACTGCTAATTTACATCCGTAGTCCCGAGTCTGCTCTCGTCTGGATCAGAGTAAAACCATGAACACTGTACTGCAGTAACATTTACAGAGAGAAAAGAGCAGAAAAATAATGAGTCTGAAATATGGAAGTGTGCAAACTCTCATTTACAACTCATTTACAACTGAGTTTATGATGAGAGTATGATAAAAAAAAAAAAAAACTGTTATTGACGTGATCTTGACCTGGTCCTGACTCGGCCCTGACCTGGTCCTGACCTGGTCCTGACTCGGCCCTGACCTGGTCCTGACATGGTCCTGACTCGGCCCTGACCTGGTCCTGACATGGTCCTGACCTGGTCCTGACTCGGCCCTGACCTGGCCCTGACCTGGTCCTGACCTGGTGTCTGTGCTGTGTCCAGGTGTCAATGATCCGGGACATCAGAGAGCGTGAGATCCGGATCTACACCGACGCCGGCCGCATCTGTCGCCCGCTGCTCATCGTGGAGAAACAGAAGCTGCTGCTGAAGAGACGCCACATCGACCAACTGAAGGAGCGCGAGTACAACAACTACAGGTACCGCTTCATCCAGGACCGGAATCTCACTGTGGACCAACGGCACCAGCTGCATTTGAAAAGACCGTAAATGAAGGAAAGGCAAGTTTATTTGGATAGCTCAGTTCATAAACATGGCAACTCAAAGTGCTTAACGAGGTTAAAAACCAATGACTGACACCAAATCTCAGTGCTGGTCCGGTCTCAGTGCTGGTCTGGTATCAGTCTCGGTCTCAGTGCACGTCCGGTGTCCGTCTCTGCTGGTCCGGTGTCCGTCTCGGTTCTGGTCCGGTGTCGGTCTCAGTCTCTGTCTCAGTGCTGGTCTGGTGTCAGTCTCAGTCTCAGTGCTGGTCTGGTGTCAGTTGGCAGGACCTCGTAGCGTCTGGCGTGGTGGAGTACATAGACACTCTGGAGGAGGAGACGGTGATGCTGGCCATGACGCCCGATGACCTCCAGGAGAAGGGCGTGGCCTACTGCTCCACATACACCCACTGTGAGATCCACCCGTCCATGATCCTGGGCGTGTGCGCGTCAATCATCCCCTTCCCTGACCACAACCAGGTACGACTGCTGCCAGACATATTTTTTAAGCCAAATATGTCTGTAATAATGTTTAAAGCAGAGAAAGTCCTTAGCATGTTTCTGTAACACGTGTGTGCAGTCTCCCAGGAACACGTACCAGTCGGCCATGGGGAAGCAGGCCATGGGCGTCTACATCACCAACTTCCACGTGAGGATGGACACTTTGGCCCATGTGCTGTACTACCCCCAGAAACCTCTGGTTACTACACGCTCCATGGAGTACCTGCGCTTCAGAGAGCTGCCCGCAGGTACACACTCACACACACTGTACCTGTTCTTCAGAGAGCTGCCCGCAGGTACACACACACACACTCACACACACTGTACCTGTTCTTCAGAGAGCTGCCCGCAGGTACACACACACACTCACACACACTGTACCTGTTCTTCAGAGAGCTGCCCGCAGGTACACACACACACTCACACACACTGTACCTGTTCTTCAGAGAGCTGCCCGCAGGTACACACACACACACACTCACACACACTGTACCTGTTCTTCAGAGAGCTGCCCACAGGTACACACACACACTCACACACACTGTACCTGTTCTTCAGAGAGCTGCCTGCAGGTACACACACACACTCACACACACTGTACCTGTTCTTCAGAGAGCTGCCCACAGGTACACACACACACTCACACACACTGTACCTGTTCTTCAGAGAGCTGCCCGCAGGTACACACACACACTCACACACACTGTACCTGTTCTTCAGAGAGCTGCCCGC